TCCTGAAACATGTTGCTTTCCCATGTGGCCCTGCACACTGTGCCTCTTCTTTTTAGGGAAACTATAACATCAAACTTCTTTCAATTGCATTGGCCTTGCTGTATCATCACTTAGTCACCTCCATGCATTAAACTCCCATTGGTGCAGCTAGTTCTTCCTCTATCCTTACCTTTCTGGTCAGCTTTGGGAGGTCTTCCCTGTGCATGTTCAGCCAAGCCTGCATCGAGGAGCTTTGGACAATAACCACATGGACTTCTGGTGCCAGGTTTATTGGAGGCCATTAAAAAGGTGGAACTGAAATCCTGGGTCCACCCTGACTCATACTCTTGTTATGTAAGACAATGAATTTGTACATAGGTTCAATTTTATTTTGTTTTCTGTTTACATATGACTCAGCGCATCTTACACAGCCTGCTTCAGAGTTCCCCGTCTAGTGCTGTTGCTGATGGAACACTCTAACATGAGCATAAAAATAGGTACAAGATTACGTATTGCAGCTTTTTTTAGGGTAAAACTGAAAAATTGGGAACTTATGTGACTTTCAAAGAAGACTAATGAAATAAATTACAATTTATTCATAAAATAGGAATCTAGGCAGCCCTAAGAAATATTGATGAGCTTTTAGGAATCCAAATATATATATATATCTACACTAATAAAAGAGAAACATGGTAATTGGCGTACGACCACTACCCTTCCCATTGGCTAATCCCCCTGTCACTAACAGATTAGGGCCGAGATATGCAAGTTAACTGGCAGCCAAGATGGCGGCCAGCAACCAGGCAGCTGATACAAAGAGGGAGGCTTGCTTGCTTCAGTGACGGAGAACTCCAACGTTCCGGCCTCTCAGCTGCAATGCTAAGCAACTGTGTTGCGAATAAAGAAGCTATAAAAAAACCCAGAAACCTGCTTTACTCAGCGGAGCTTCAGCCAGCTGGACCGCAACATTGTATCAAATACAGATGGTAAACAAAGGCCAGAAACCTGTTTTCAGCAGCCAAGGCCTCAGAGCTAAAGCTGGCCCAGAATAAAAAAAGAAAAAAAGAAAAAAAGGAGCAGTTGGGAGCTTCAG